ATTTATAATAAAAAAATATTTTTAATATATACTCTAAGAGCACATTAAAAAAATCCTTTATATTATATGTTCATGTGCGGAACGGCTGTTTCATGTTTTAAAGCAGAATCTATTCTTACGAGGAAAGTAAAAGATTCTATTCTCTTTTCTACGGTGTTGGAAAACTTGTCTGTCCCTGTCGTTTCATATTAGGTTAGAAATTAAAGCACACGAGATTGCACGCGTTATACCAGAGAAGGTTGATTAATCGATCAAAACAATAAAAAATTGATTGGGTTAAGTGAAAATCTTCGTATAAATAAAATAATTAAAAAGATATAAGAATTAAGTAGCGCATGTATGTTAAATTTCACATATCTGTTGATATATATATATATATATATATATTTTAAAACGCATCGAATCCTTCGGGGTCAAGTGACAATAGTCACCCATGGTGCATTCCCTCTCCCTAGGACTGGGGTTCGAACCCAGCCTCTTGTAAAATTAGTTCAAAAAAATATATATATATATTTTAAAACGAATTACAATCTTAAGAAGGAAAGATTTAAAATTCAACCTTAAAATTAAGGATGCATTTTATAATGAGATATATAACCATCAAATTACAAAATTTAAGTGCTGATAACCCGTGGTTAAAACATTAGGACTACCATGTTTTTTTTTTTTTCTTTGAAACACTATGACGAAGAAAAGAGAAGAAAGAAAACTAACCTAGGGAGAGGTGGGGACTGTCCCCCAAAAACAAAATGGAAAACAGAATTTGAGGCCAACTCTATTTGTGGCTGCGGAAGAGACCCTCTCTTTGAGCAGTCCGGAAGGCGGTGCAGGCGATGAGATAGACGCAAATCAGCAGAACAACCGCTACAATCATGATCACGTTGGCCTTCCTCCATTCTTTCCGAAGGCTCCCCAACAGTCCAGCCTTGCAAGAGTTGCAGTTGTAGCACAGCAGCCTCTGGTCGTTGCTCCACGCGAAGCAGTCCGGGTCGCTGGCTTGGTTCACCGGGTTGACCCATGTGGTCGGGTTTACGTAATTGTACCCGCAAATTGTTGGTGGCTTGCAACATCCAGACTGTCAAAGAGCATCAAAAGAAAGTAAAATCAAAGTAACGTGAGGAAAGAAACTAACAACAAAAAGAAGCAATCCAGATTTATTGACATTCTAATTTTTTATAGAAAGATTCTTCACGCAATAATTTGTTATACTTTCCATATTCTTTACGTACCTATTTAAGTCCGAAATTTCTAATTTATTAAACAAATAAGTTGTTTGTTAACTATTTAAATAATTTAATGATAATCTATATCCACTAAAAATAAAAAACTCTGAATTCAAATCATATGATATGCAAGTAGAGAGAGTTACCTCCTGTTATATAATTAACATCAATAAAAAAAAAAAATCTAGTTGTTGATACACTTATTTAGAATGTTTTTGATTTAAAAAAATAAAGGAGAAGGGAGAGGAGGAGAATAAAAAGACTTTCCCCTCTCTTCATTTATATAAGTGAAGAATTAAAAGAAAAAAATAAAATAAAAAACTTCTTTCTCATCTCTTATAAATTTTTTTACCAGATAAAAAAATTTATTTTTTCTTTCAAACTAAACAGTCCCTAATAAATTGATATGTATTAGAAAATTTCATTAAAAAAACTGGTGAGTAACTTATTATATAATTGAAAATTACATTAAACTGCACAGTATAAGCACAACCCTTCTCTCTCATTGTGTTTTGCTGTTAGATGACACATTGCAAAGTCGTGCTAATTCATCAAGAAAAAGTTAAAATTTTTACAGCTAATACTACTTTCTTATGTACGTACGTTATGGTAATTTTGTCGGCCCCAAGTTACGGTAAAAATGTCCAAAGCAAGAAGCAAAGCCTTTTTCTGTTTGATATAAAAATCTGAAAGATCTATGATATGGGGAGCAATGAAATCTTAAAAGATTCCAACATGTTGAAATTGTTATGATGAATTGAAAAAGATAGAATATTAAAAATTAAGTATAGGACGAATTGGGCGGAGCAGAACAGCCACAGACCTGAAGTGGAGATAAGTGAGTGGCGAAGAACTGATCGGCGGTTATATAGTTCTGGTTAAGCTTGGGGCAGTCGTTGGTCTCGGCGAGGCATGCCTTTATCTTCTCCCAATTGTCGGAATTGACTACATGGTCAATGAGCCAGCTGGAGTACCCATCAAGGCGGTACTCCTTGAAGCCCCTGCCTGGCACGTTGTAGCTGCCGTCGGGCCTGGTGACGACGAAGGCGAAGATTAGGACGAAGAGGAGGAGGCCAATAAGGAGGGCCATACAGCAGAGGTAGACAGCGAGGAGGGTCTCCTTGTAAGCATAGGCGCCAATGAAACCAGCGAGGGAGACGAAGAGGATGAGGAATCCAATGATGACGACGGGCCAGCGGAAAAGGTGGACGCACTCGTTGTCGGGCTTGGAGGCCAGCCATAAGCCAGAGGTGATGATGGGGATGGAGCAGAGGAGGGCCAAGAGGTTTAGGATTGCGGTTAGGTTGTTGGCAACGCCCATGGTGATGGTAGGGGAGGGGAGGAGGGGAGGAAGAGTGTGTGGGGGAATGGAAAAATGGGTTTTTGTATATATTTTACCAGCGGTTTGGAAGGGTTGTTTTTTATTATTTTTTTATTTTTTAATGAGATTATACAATTAGAGTCAACACTTTTATATCTCTTAATCTAATTATATATATTTTGAGTTGAATTTAAGATATCTTATTTGTATTAAAAAGAAATTTTTATTGAACTAATTAGGTAGTTGGTTAAGATTATTTAGGGTTGTTAAAATAGGTTTAATGTATGATTTGGTCTCTCAATTTTTATTATGGTCTCTGAAAATGTTTTCACTTCCCAATGGTACCTTGGTTTATTTTTCTAGTTTCCAAGATGGTCCTTCCAACTTTTTCATAAAAAGATTACTTTAATTTTGAATACTACAGAAGATTTTACACTTCGAAGACTTATGTGATGAACTTTTCTTTTAAAAAAATATTTTCTTAATCGCAAAAAAATGAGAAATAGTCCATTGAGTCATTCGAAAACTACTATTTATATAAAATGGGGCTCACTGACCTTAATAATTAGGTTACAATTTAATTGTTAACTACTGAATTTAGTAATTAAAAAGGTGCTAATAATTTAAGTTTGGGTTGTGTAGCCTTAAAAATTGAAGTAGTTTTTGCCACTAACATAAAAGGCTTTTACACTATTAAGTTTAAATCTATGTCCTCTCTCTTTGTCCCCCTTCCCCACAGATATAAACTACTTGTTTTGATACATCAAAAAAATAAATATAAAAATAAAAATAAAAATAAATTTAGGTTCAAATCCTTAAATTGTGTAGTTGGTGGCCCTATTCTCATAGCAAATAACTTAGAAGTAGTTTTTTTTTTTTTTTGATAATAGGAAATTTCGGAAAAAAGGAATATGAGTATATAATTCAGGTTTTACGTGTTTAAACACTTTTTTCGCTGGAGTGATCAATAAATCACTACATGCTAGACAACTTAGAAGTAGAAGTAGTATTTGGTATAATGGGAGAGAAGGATATTTTGTTGATGAATTAAACTATAATTTTGGCCATTATTACAATTTGTTTAGTAAAAAATTCATTATTTCTATTCTTCTTCTTTATTTTTTTTAAAACTAAATATACTCTAAAAATAAAAAAGACGAAAAAATAACTTCGACACAAAACATAATAATTTCAATGGTTCGGCAGACGGGAACAAATTTGAGAAAAAAAGTGTATGAATACTCCTTTCTATTTACACCAATAACTTAGCGGTAAGAATGTCGTAAGAGCAGAGTTGATTTGTAATGAAATTAAGAGTTATAGGGCTTAGTTAGCCGGAAATCAAATTTAATGGATTAATCGAAACAACTGACAAACTTTAAGGGCTAAAGGTCAAGTTTCTTCATAAAAATGCATGAAACCGTATTTTTTGGGAGAGCGAACTTTCTACGGAGGATGCTTCGAGGCTCAGCCTCCGGGCCCACCACTATGCCACGTGGCCTGTTCCCATTGCCTTTAATACAAACCCACTCGCAAACCTGCGCGAGTACTCTCCACGCTCCACTCTCTCGGAGAACGGGTCAGAACTAGCATCCTCCACGTGGCTTGTATAGTCTCGAGTCGTGCAGGCA